CTGTTGTAATGAGATCTGTCTGTGCCTCAGATAGTAGTGAAAATTGAAGACAATGTTGAGTCAGAAGCAAGCAGAGGAAGCGATTGTCTCCAGCTACGATGAGACGTCGGCTGAGAATGATTGCGGCGGCGGCGGAAAAGAGGAGGAGAAGGCGGAAGATCAGCCCATATTCAGTATCAGTAATGCTCTCTGGCACGGCGGTTCAGCCTGGGATGCCTGGTTCAGTTGTGCTTCTAATCAAGTCAGTATACAAATACTTTGATACATACATAAATATGCAAATATATTCATATTGTCTGAATTAAATAATAAATTTGATGATATATTTCCGTACGTAGGTAGCACAAGTGCTGTTGACACTACCATACTCGTTCTCACAACTAGGATTGCTATCCGGGATAGTGTTTCAAATATTTTACGGATTGATTGGAAGCTGGACTGCTTATCTTATCAGTGTTCTTTACCTTGAGTACCGAAGCAGAAAGGAAAAGGAAGGTGCTAGCTTCAAGAACCACGTCATCCAGGTTTCTTTAATTAATACACTATATAATTATTATTAATTAATTAAGATTAATATTAAATTACTGATTAAATATATCAAACCCCATCAGTGGTTTGAAGTGCTAGATGGATTACTTGGGCCATACTGGAAAGCCGCGGGTTTAGCCTTTAACTGCACTTTCCTCTTGTTTGGATCTGTCATCCAACTCATCGCCTGTGCAAGGTAATCATCATTAATCATCATCATATTTATTTTTTAATTATTATTTTCCATTAAATAATTAATATTGATTGATGAATTTGTGTAATGACAAATTGAACAACATGCAGTAACATATACTACATAAATGACCACCTGGATAAGAGGACATGGACATATATATTTGGAGCATGCTGCGCCACCACAGTCTTCATACCCTCTTTTCACAATTACCGGATTTGGTCCTTTTTAGGACTTGGTATGACTACTTATACCGCCTGGTACATGACCGTTGCTGCCCTTGTTCACGGCCAGGTCCCTTTTTTTTTTAATTATTATTTAATTACTTATTTATATTAATTATGATTTAATATTATGAATAATTAACAGGCTGAAGATGTACAACACTCCGGTCCTAAAAAGCTTGTACTCTACTTCACCGGCGCCACTAATATACTCTATACATTTGGTGGCCATGCTGTTACTGTGTAAGCTTTTCTTCCTTTTTTTTCTTTTATTTATTTATTTTTCCTTTTTTTTTTAAAAAAAAATATATATTTTGCTTAATAATTATTGATTTAGTAGAAATATATTATCTTCTTTATTTTTCTTCTGCTTCTTCTCCGCTTCTATTGCAGCTTTTGCCGGCCACCTTGTGGGTTGTGAATAACAGACATAATTATAGGAACTACTTTTCTTTTTATTTTTTTATTACCAAAAAGTTACCCCCAAATAAATTAAAATATTAACAAATATTAAACATTATCCCCACTCTAACTAACTGCATCTTTCTCTACACTCAACATCACTAACTTCAAATTCCTGCCAATGAATGCCACATGATCAAACTTTGTGTTCATCTTGTCTTAAGTGTCTGTAGATTATTCATGTTCTTATTGTAACAAAAGTACATGATGTACCCTGAGGGCAGTTTAGACATTAAACGCACTACATTTTAAAGCTCCCACTGCCCCATCTCTGCTACTACTACTTTTGCATATATATATTATCACACAGTAATTGCACAATATTTCCAGTTGTAAAATGAATTGTACAGTGTACTACTGTACTATTTAGATTCTTATATCCATGATTACTAACTTGTTATTAATTATTACAGTGCATTAATCCCATTACTTAATTATGGTCTGATTATTTCCTTTTTTTTCTGCTTTTTTTTTTTAATTTAAAAAAAAAACAGGGAAATAATGCATGCAATGTGGAAACCCCAAAAATTCAAGTACATATACTTGTTGGCCACACTATATGTATTCACTCTAACAATCCCATCAGCTTCAGCTGTTTATTGGGCTTTTGGAGATCAACTCCTCAACCACTCCAACGCGTTTTCCCTCCTCCCAAAGTCCGCGTGGCGCGATGCTGCCGTTGTACTTATGCTTATCCACCAGGTCTTCTATTAATTAATTTCATTTCTAGTAATTTCGAGTACAATTTAGTTGTACTAACTACTAATATCACAATTTGATGTTAATTACAGTTTATCACGTTCGGGTTTGCATGTACGCCGCTCTACTTTGTGTGGGAGAAAGTAATCGGGATGCACGACACGAAAAGCATATGTCTGAGGGCGTTAGCAAGGCTGCCTGTGGTGATTCCAATATGGTTCTTAGCCATTATATTCCCGTTTTTCGGGCCTATAAATTCGGCAGTTGGTGCGCTTCTAGTGAGTTTCACCGTCTACATAATCCCGGCCCTCGCCCATATGCTTACTTATAGAAAAGCCGCTGCTCGTAAGGTAATTTTAGTTAGTAATTTTTTATTTTACTTTTCACCATTTAACTCCATTAATCAATTATATTGCTATAAAGAAAAATCGTTAAGCAGACGACAGTGGCATTAAATGCATGGATTTGGAAATTTTGTTAAGACCAGAATGTATATAAGGTGGCAACTGGCAAGTCATTTTCAGTTTAGTTACATGCTACAGTGTCTAGATATTTTGTATTAACTAATATGTCCGGTATATATGAGCTGGCTTTCTTTTACTAGATTTAAGATGTATTTTTACAAATTGGTGATTTTTTTAATTTATAATGGTGAAAAATAAATGCAGAATGCTGCTGAGAAGCCACCACCATTCATGCCAAGCTGGGCAGCCATGTATGCGATAAACAGCTTCATCGTTATATGGGTATTTGTTGTGGGTTTCGGGTTCGGCGGGTGGGCTAGCGTTACCAATTTCGTTCGGCAAGTTGACACGTTTGGCCTCTTTGCCAAGTGTTATCAGTGCAAGCCCGCTGCCGCCGCCCACCTACCGCCGCCCCACCACTGATCATCGGTGAACACCAATCATTTACAATATGGCCCTTCTCTCTCTCTCTCTCTCTCTCTCTCTCTCTCACTCTGTAATATACATGGGGATATGTGCAATATTACCCCTACAGTCTACATTACTACATGTGTTGCGTGCCTTTTTTTCATTTTTTATTTTATTTTCTGTTTGAAATGTTAGGTGAGATTAGTGTGTGGAATTTGTGGTGAATGATTGCTTCTCAAAGGTGTAGTTAAT